CCCGATGGTTAATACGGATTCGGCTATACGATTACACGGTTGAGAGAGTATCTGGTACTAAAAATGCCGTGGCAGATGGACTTTCACGCATCCCTCTCGAGCGTCCGATAGTAGTTGGGGCTCTGACAATGGCAGAGCCGAGGCGCGCCGAGAGATTTCTAGTTAATCTTTACGAGGGCAAGTACCGAATGATCGGACTACACCTGACGGGAGAGGAGAGTCAAGATTCAGATATCCGGAGGCAAGCAGTCCAGTACTGTCTTAGAGCGGTCCACATTTTTCGAAGGCCAGTAGGGTCGGGAATGCCCTTGCGAGTAGTCTGTGATCCTGAGGAGAGATAGACGATAGTTGCGGAACTTCACGACGGGGTAGTCGGAGGACACAGGGGAGTTAAAGGAACCTACGAAAAGATACGTCGGCTGTACTGGTGGACGTCGAGAGGTACTGTATGACATGCGAAGAGTGCCAGAAGAGAGCTCTTGTGAAATACAAAGAGCCACTTCATCCATCCTATCCGACCAGACCAGGAGAGAAGGTACACATCGATCTAGTGAAAATGCCGAGAGGGGTAGGCAATATGAACTACGTCGTGAACATACGAGACGATTTCACTGGGTTCGTGGACGGTAGACCTATCAGGAGTAAGGCGGCAAAGGAAGTAAAGAACTTTGTCCTGGAGTACTTATTTAGGTATGGTTGTGTCAGCAAGATAGTGATGGACAGAGGGGCGGAATTCCTAGCCGACGAGGTTTAGAGCGTGTTTAGGAGAGCCGGTGCGAGAGTTTCGATAGCCACCGCCTATCACCCACAGTCGAACTCCCCTGTAGAGAGGGGACACCAGACTCTGATAGCGTCACTGTCCAAGTGGTGCAAGGGTAAGGACAGTGATTGGCCACGATATTTTCAATACGCAATATGGGCAGACAACGTCACGGTCCGGGCTAGTACCGGATACCCACCGTACACCTTGTGGTTTGGGCGACATTGTCCGCTTCCCATAGAGTTTCACGTCGACAGCTGGGCAACCGTCGACTGGGCGGAGGAGATGTCCAGAGAGGAACTCTTAGCTGCCCGAACGAGACAAATAGCCTACGGTTTGGAAGATGACCTCATGACAGCGGCAGATCGTCTGGTAGTGGAAAGGGACAAGAGTAAAGAGAGAAAGGATAAGAACGTGCGAATCAGGAAAGAGAGGGTGAGCGTAGGAGATATGGTCTTTCTCTACGATGCAACGCTGGAAAGAACCTGGACCGGAAAACTCGCCAACAGATGGATGGGACCTTACAGAGTGGTTGAGGCACTCGACTGGGGTGCATATATGATAGCAGAATTAGACGGATCCAAGTAGAAGGACCCAGTGGCGGGTGCAAGGTTAAAGCTGTTTAGGCCCACGCCCGCGCCCGCCTTATCACTGACCAGCCCGAAAGGGAAAGGAAAAGCCATAATGGAGGATGGAGCCCCCTTGAGGCAATTCGAGGTAGGGGGGGGTTCCAAGAAAAGGAAAAGAATAGAGAAGAGAAAGGTCAAAGGGTTAGCTTTAGGAAGAGAGAAGAGATGGTTATTCGTGCTCAAGCGAGCTAGACGGAGAGTTCGCGTTAGACGTACTGGCGGGTCGACACCCTTCTCGAGGCAAAGACAAAAGAAAAAGAGGATCGTGCCGGGGCCAAAAACCAAAAGAGACAGGAGAGTCAAGAAGCATCTTCTTAGCCCCAGGGCTCATAACAAACTGAAGCATAAGACAATTGAACGCCGACGTGGGCGACCTTTACAGACCATCACCCTGAAGCTCATCCGCTTCGTCTCACGAAAGTTGCTAGGGCTCGACGGGGGCGTCGAGAAGTGGTCCGGGCTAACTGTCAGGCGGCCACAAGCAGTGCGCCGCCTGAAATCTACGGTTTTGGGACTTAGGCGCGAAGAGGAGTCTGAGTTTTGACGGTACTCTGGTTAGACCAGGCAGCAAAAATTAGGGGAACTCAGGGCACCCCTGATTCTGGGCGCACTGAGCCTTACAAGTAACCCTGAGAGATGGCGAGATAAGTGGCCACACTCGGCGCATCTAGGGACCGTCATTCCCGACCGTTTAGAGAGTTAGACTCGGATTGACCTGCCGCGGAGAGGCATCGCGGGAACTAACTTCGCCGCAACGTTTTTGCGGCATACGGCCGGGACCGAAATGAGGCCTCAAATTTTTGTCTATTTTTGGTACCTAAACTAAAGATGGGGGAAAAGATTGGGAACAGTAGGAGGGAAGAGAAAAACGTAATATCCCTTAGTTCCCTTATTTTTCGYGGCATTTAAATTTTGGGGAAAATACCTCGTTATTTTATGTTTYCGGCAATGAAATAGAAAACCAGAGAAAAAKRTTAWAAATGGTAAGGGRGAGAAGAAAAGAGAGAATTTCAACCATTTGATTAAACTCCCTCAGAATTCATTTTTGGTGAACCTATGGCTAATTCACTATTTCAGACAATAGAATTAAGGAAAAGGAAGAACGATTCAAAATGATGGAACAAACAGGAGCTAATGATTATTCGATGCCTGGTCTGGTTTTGCTTGGGATATCCACCGTCAGCTCATAACCCAGATTTGATCAAATTCCCTGAGCTCAAACGTTTTTTTTGCTATTCCCCCGGTGATCGAAACTCTCTGTGACGCGTCCCCTATTTACCTGATTACTAACCTTACTGAGCCCGGCGGTACGGACGATGA